TGAAAGCAAGATGAAGCACATTAATTAAATGAAGATCATTAGGATGAGAACGTTAAAGGAGGATTTTCTTTTTAAATCGGGGGGAGGGAGAAGATTTCTCAAATTTGTATTTATTATAACACAAGGAGAATAAAAAAAAAGCTATTAAGTCAATTTCTGCTCATTTTCAACAAGCAATGGCAGAGAATTACTTGGCCCAGAAAACCAAATACGAAAAATTTGTAACTGCCTTGTACCAATACTGTGAGAGAGAGAAGGGAAGACAGAAGGTCTGTTACATATTTGCATTGCTCCAATTATCATAATATCAAACCTAAATATCATTTAATTTAGCTTTGGAACATGAGGCAAGGAAATAAAATCCCTATTTTTGAACAAGGAGAGAGACTGATTTTTAGTAACTTTCTCAGGACCACAGAGAAAATCTATGGCCCAGTCATGTACTGACCCCAAATCTCCAAACTCCCTGCCCATGGTTCTAGCTACAGGTAGGATCTGACTGTGGAACAATGGCTCCTGCTAGATAAATGACCACTACATATTTGCTTGTACCTCCATGCTCAAGCATAAAAAAAGCATTTCCACAATATCATTAAACTATATAGGATATAGAACAAAACGTCTCATCACTGGAGCACTTGGGCTGTGTCTACACTGGGCCACTTATTCCGGAAAATCAGCCGCTTTTCCGGAATAAGCTGCGAGCTGTCTACACTGGCCCTTGAATTTCCGGAAAAGCAACGACGCTCTACTGTACAAAAATCAGCTGCTATTCCGGAAAAACTATTCTGCTCCCACTCGGGCATAAGTCCTTATTCCGGAACACTGTTCCGGAAAAGGGCCAGTGTAGACAGCCCAGTAGTCTTTTCCGGAAAAAAGCCCCGATCGTGAAAATGGCGATCAGGGCTCTTTTCCGGAAAAGTACATCTACATTGGCCACAGACGCTTTTCCGGAAAAAGGGCTTTTCTGGAAAAGCAGCCTGCCAATGTAGATGCTCCTTTTCCGGAAAAACTGAAAACGGAATAGTATTCCGTTTTAAGCATTTCCAGAAATTCATGCCAGTGTAGACACAGCCATACAGTTTAGACAGAACTCAGTATTAGTGCTCATAAGAAGCACTAACTGGGGAACTGGAATAATCACTTCATAGAATCATAGAATACCAGGACTGGAAGGGAACTTGAGAGGTCATCGAGTCCAGTCCCCTGCCCTCATGGCAGGACCAAGTACTGACCAAGACCATCCCTGATAGACATTTATCTAACCTACTCTTAAATATCTCCAGAGATGGGGATTCCACAACCTCCCTGGGCAATTTATTCCAGTGTTTGACCACCATGACAGTAAGGTTCCTAATGTCCAACCTAAACCTCCCTTGCTGCAGTTTAAGCCCATTGCTTCTTGTTCTCTCCTCAGAGGCCAAGATGAACAAATTTTCTCCCCCTCCTTATGACACCCTTTTAGGTACCTGAAAACTGCTATCATGTCCCCCCTCAATCTCTCTTTTCTAAACTAAACAAACCCAATTCTTTCAGTCTTCCTTCATAAGTCATGTTCTCTAGACCTTTCATCATTCTTGTTGCTCTTCTCTGGACCCTCTCCAATTTCTCCACGTCTTTCTTGAAATGCGGTGCCCAGAACTGGACACAATACTCCAACTGAGGCCTAA